TCATTATCGCCTTACCTGGCCTGTGGAGACTTCGGGCATTAGAATTCAGGAAACCATTATAAACCATTCTTCTTGTTTTTGTTTTGTCTTTTTAAAAATGATTTATTTGGGAAAGAGAGGGAGGAGCAGAGGGAGGGGACGAGAGGATGAATGAATGTTGGTTGTTCATTTTCTCCCTAAATGCAGAAAACCACCAGTTCTGAGCCAGGCTGGAGGCAGAAACCAGGAACTCCAGCGAGATCTTCACATGTGGCCTGGCTACGACAAGAAAGGTCAACTGGATTTCGAAATATTTTTCCTAATGATCCTTTCTCTAAGATGTGTCAAGACAATTGCCATTGAAGTGATGAAATGCCATCAGGAGTGGCTTTGTATGATTCAGTGCACAGAGCTACCTGGATGAATCTCGGGGGAATTATGCTGAGTGAGAATCAAATGTCCATTCCCTAAAACTGCATTCTAATTCTTGGAATGAAAAATTCTAGAAATGGAGGACAGTTTGTTAGAAATTAAAAGGAGGAAGGGCATGGATGTGTAATCAAGGAGCAGCATGGGGGATGGTATGATGATGAGCAGCATGGGGATCGTATCATTCTGGTTTAAAAATTTTTTAGATTGTTTTCCATGACACCTGGTATAGGTATAGGGATTCGTCCTCTCTCTTCTCCCTCCCTCCATTCTCTCTCCACCTCCCTATCTCTCCCCCACCCCCATATTGTCACAAAGGACTTATTCTTCACTTTGTGGTGGTATCCATTCTGGTTGTGACTTTTTTGGTGGTGACTTTCTGCTAGAATTTTGCAAGATGCTGTCATTGGAGGAATTTGAGTAATGGATACATGGGACCCCTTTCTTACCAATTTCAGCTCCCGCATGTGAAATAACTAAGCATTTAATTAAAAATTCAACTACAATGAATTTACCAGTCATTTTAAGTTTTTTTTCCCCATCTGATTAAGTTTTCATGCCCTGATTTGGAATTCAAATTCCCATGACCTTAACCCAAACTACCTGCCAGGTCCTATTTATTAACCAAACAAGACTTTGCTGTAGGAACCTAGGGCTTTTCCACATTGGCCCCTGAGCTCCAGGACAGCCTCCTTGCTGCCCTCTGTTAGACCCTAAGCCAGGTGTTGCCTGCTCCATGGAGGTCTCTGCAAGGACAAGCACCTGAAGATTTTTATTACTAAAAATATGGCGATGCTCTGTATCCTACCTTTCATTTCTGTGATTTTTGGGTGCATTTCTCCTCTTTTCTTAGACTTAAATATTATTTGCAGGTCGAACCTTTGCTTTTCATGTGATGTAGTTGATCTGTGCATAACACTGACAACTCCATTGGCACAGATCAAGTTATTGATACCCTTGTAGCCCTGGATGCTTTGTTCATATTGTTTTGACTCTTCAATGACTATTAAGTCAACGTGGTTTCCTGTGGAATAAATTTTCAATTTTATGTTTGTAGATAAGTGATTAACATACTGTATTTGCAAATGGTTGAAATTCTCATTACTTGGGGGCTTATAAAAGCTGCCATTTAGAGGTTTTTCCAGGCTTAAACAGCAGGAGTACATTGTCAAGAAGTAACTTCATGCAACTGAAGTGTAACAATGTCTTTTTTTTTCAGGTAAAATGAGTAAAATATATACATTTAATAATGGTTATATATTTAACCAAATATCAACTCAACATTTAAAAATGGGACAAAGCAGCAGAGTTATAACACACATGGTATTAACTAAATTCTTAAATAATTTAGGAATCTTTCAGGTGTCACTTGATTTCTCTCTGCTTCCATGAACCGAAGTTATAGGGCTAGGAGAACACCGGGTTGTTTTCTAGCTCTGACCTTTTGTGGTTTCATGAATGTGGGATGACTGAGCACTGGACACAAAGGTTGAGCCATGTGTCTTTCTGTCCGTTAATCCTTCCCGTTGCGTTCATGTGGGCTGAGTCTCCGAGTCGGCCACTGTGGGACCAATGACACTGGGGACACCGTGCTGCATTGAAACCAGCTTCTGCTGTTTGTGACTCACTCAGTCCCGCTGTCCCTGACTGTTAGCTAGAGATTAATCACGAGGAATGGTAGGCTGAAAGGCAGTCGAGTTCAGACTTTGCTATTAGACATGTTCAGATTTTCTGGCCTCAAGCCCAAGCCGTGTTTTTGGCTTCCATTCTTCCCCACCATGCTCCTTTTTTGATGATAAATTTTAACCTTTACCTGAAAGTAACAATTAAAAACCTAAGAAAATGAAAGGCATGCTCCTTGTATGTATAAATACAGCATTGTAGAGAGTCTCAAACGAGGTCAACGTAATAGCTAGTACAAAGGAAGGCCAAGACAGAGAGTATATAAAGAACTTTCATAGTCAAGGTCAAGAGTAAAAGTCTCTTAGGCATTATTGTTGTTGAAACAACTATTAGCGTCCAGAGATTTGTGGAGTAGATTAGCAACATACACATGGCATTTGCTGCATCCAAGCAACTCTTAAGAATTTTATAAACACTATGTTATTTAATAGAAAATCCAATTAGGTGTTACTCTATTTTGTGTATAAACCAACTGGAACTTAGAAAGATTGAGTAATTGGTGCCAAATTCCGAGAACAGCGAGTACAGAATGGCCCATATTTTTAGGTAGAACATTTACTGCTTCTCAAATACCAAAATCTACATTATCATGCGAATGCTTAATACATGAGCATGGCTTAATAATTGACCTGAAATTCTGTTACCTAGTGAGTATTTGGCTTATAAAGATCAAGGTCTTGGTAGCATATTTGTACTTTGAAATGGAAGTATGGTTTCTGTGTGACTAAGGTATTTGCAGTTAATTGATATTGAGCTCCTTCTGTAGGCGTTATTAACCCACCAACATGTCAGAACATCTGGGGTGATGACAGCATTGAAGAGTACCAGACAGACAGAATCCCTGACAACTAAAGGTGGTATATGATTCTAGATTAATATTGTGATCACAGGGGAAGTGCGGGAAAGGGAACTGTAGAGAGACTCTGAAAGAGCTGTAAGTACTTCTAGATTATAGTATGTTCCAGTGTTCTGTCAACATGTGGGAACTGTAGAGAGACTCTGAAAGAGCTGTAAGTACTTCTAGATTATAGTATGTTCCAGTGTTCTGTCAACATGTGGGTTCCCATATTAGATAACAGTATTCTCATGTTGGGAAAGAACGGTTTTATTCCTGAAAAAAATGACGTATGTTAGGATAAAAGGACATGCCATGTACGAATTATCATCAGATTGCTCCCACGTGTATATACAGAGTGGGAGAACAGTGGAGAATCCTAAACTAGCGAGGCAGATACACAGGAATTCTTCCCATTGCAACTTAGAACATTGTAGTCTTTTAAAAATAAAAAAAAATTAGAAATCAGTTACCAATCTAAATCAGTTCTATTTTTTTTTTAATATTTAGTACTTCTGTCTGCTAGCACCCATCCCGAACAATCTGTAAATAAGTAACTTGACAAAAAACAAAGAACAATGATGAAATTCTGATGAAATCACTTCAGAATAGTACCCTGTCTACTTCAGTATTTATGTAAAGGTCAGAAATACTCTTTTTTTTGCCTGTCTTTTGCCACAGGTACTTCTATTGAGTGTAGTGCTAAACCACCATGAATTTCATGTTATCTTGGATATTTAGGCCTGGGACTTTTCTGTTTCCTTGGAGTAAGCCACTGCTTAGCAACGGAGGACTGGTTCACAGCTGGCCTAGAGCTTCCTGTTCCTTGCAGGAATCTTGATGTCCTCAGAGAGGGTTGCAGCCTGTACTCTATCAGATGTCAAAGCCGTTATTGAGCCTTCTCCTACTCTTGCGTGTTGCCTTCCATTTTTATTTTTCAGAACACCACAATCTTAGTGTGTACTAAGAAAAGTTTCAACTACCCTGAAAGTCATTGAATTTGAGACCTAGGGAGTTTGTCTATCATGTCTAATTCTCTATTCTCCATATATCTTTTGCCCATCAAAAGAGAAGGGCTAAAACACATCTTCAGAGAACCTAGAAAAAAAAATCCCAGAGTAAACTGCTAAGTGGGAGTCTGATGGGCAGTTTGTGTTTCATGTGAAACTGTAGCCTGGGTAATTCCGTGCACACTGAGAAAGTCGCCAGGAGGTACTGCTTTTGTTGATGTGCCACTTGCACATGGCAATTCCAAAAGTCAAGTGACATTAGACACTTAAAAACCAGCGCTCTGCCCAAGGAAGGGACGTTGGAGTCCATCGTTCCCTTCTGAATAACGTGAAGCAAGGGCTGAACCTGCTGCGAACCTTAGAATTGGCTTTGGGATTATCACACAAGCTTTATTTTTTTATCAGCTATTCGTGTTTAGCTATTTCAGAATCAAGTCAGAAGCAGAGCTTTGACAATTTGTATTTCTGCATGATGGATTTTGAGACAGAACTGCATTTGTGCCTCTAATATGGATTTCTTCATGATAGAATTCCTTATGGAATTTCCTGTAGCATGTGGAGGAAGAAAATGCCTTTTAACTTTTCAAGGTTTTAAGAATTATTGCAAGCATGGCTTTCATACAAAGAATGGAATACAAATAATGTCTAAAAGTTCAGGATAAGCCAATATAAAACAGATATTTTCTGTTTAATCCTGTAATGTCTTATTTATACAGTGAAGATTTAATTTTTAAATCTTTAAGCTTGCTTCTGGCTTTTGTCTTCTTTTGTGTCCAGTCCTCTTCCTTATACATTAAAAACTGTTCTGCTGGGTTGGTGCAAAGCCATTAAAACATTAACTTGTCTACCTATTAATTTATTTACACATGGCTTTATATACATCTTTTAGAAATGTGGACACCGTCTGGTTTTAGGAAAAGGCAATCTTCTATATTGAGATAATTTTTCCCTTCTTAGTATCAAAAAAAGTTTTTAGTACTTCTCAACACTTTGGCCGTTGCAATTTTCTAAATAATAATTATTCCTCCAATCTCACAAGCTACTCCAAATTATATATCTTATAGGCCCACACAAGTCGGAGAAACCTTGCTTTCAAGTCTAAGAAGCTCATGGGATTCACTCGCATGGTTGCACTTGTCTGTGGCAGTTATGGTGTCCTAACAACAGTGTTGCTGAGGTATCTGGTAATGTAACTTAGAAAAAAATCTGAATCTGAGGTTACTGTTACTATTTTAGGTAGCTGCCCCAAGGACATTCTGGGACCTGCACATCTACTTGATTTTACTTGAGTCGAAGTCAGCTCAACAGGAGTGCATGATAGCAGGCAGCATCGCCAGTGATGCCCTTGTGAGGATGTGAGTGTGACAGTGTGAACACAGGGACTGTTCCCCGGCGGTTCCCTTCTCGGCCACAGACCTCTCCTCCAAGGAACAGGAAGTTCTCCCTTGCTGCATCAAGCAGCAGCAAATTTTTAAAAATGTGATTTGACAATTAGATGAGGCTAGGGAAAAGGCCAGGACTCTGCTGAAATGAATGTAAAGTATAATAAAGATGTTTTAAAACTAAATGGGGTACAGGATTTTTAAACCCTTAAAATATTCAGCTGATGTGCAATTTGGAACTCAGAGAATAATATATAGAGTATTTCCTGAGAGATTGTTGTAAAATCTTTGTCCTTTGTTTCAGATCAGATTAATTGATCTGGTCAACGCCCCATGTGGGATCACTCTCAGCAGCTGTCATATTCCAGCTTTCTATCTTGGACACGTCTCTGCACGTACAAGGCTTCTAGAATCTTCATTTCTGTCTTACCTTGCTCCAATGTATTTTTCTAGTTTTCTAGTTCTTTTTTTTTTTTGATGGGGGTGGTGATTTAGAGAGGCATCTTTATTCTCCCCTAAATTATAGTTTCCTTGACATAACAGAACATATGTTCATCTGTCTTCTAACAGTGTCTGGGATTTAGTAGGAATTGAATGCTTATGGAAGAACTGATGTCATTTATCTCAAATGTGTGCTGTTTATTTCAAGATTAAGAAAATGCTTTGTAACCCTTTGAAAATTAATAGTGATACTTTTATTTGCATGACAGAGAGAACACCCACATATTGTTACACTCCCTGAATGACCCCGACGCCGGATCAACACTGGACCCAGGAGCTGGAATGCACAGGAACAGGTCTCCCACATGTGTACCAGGAACTAAACCACTTGAGTCATTACTACCACGTTAGCAGGTAAGTCAGAAAATACACTCTAGAACACCAGTGTGGAACAGGGGTACCTTTTATTTTGTATTGGAAGGGTAGAGCAATAGAGATAGGGAGGTACAATCTGCTTCTTTATCCCACATGCTCACAAAAGCCACAGGTCAGCTTGGTCATCGCAGGAGCCATGGCCTCCATCTTGGGGCCTCCTGTGTGCGTGCACAGACCCAGCTCTTGAGATTACCTGCTGGTACCCAAGGTCTGATTTAGTGGGAGTCTGGATTGGAAATGAAGTGAAACTCAATCTCAGACACTTGGGTAAGGATTGTGGGCATTTCAAGGGAAGGTTAACCTTCCAGACCACATGTCCACTTATCCCCCCAATGCCTGAGAGAGAGACACACACTGAGAGAAGGTGAGAGAGAGGAGAGAAAAAGAAAGACACACACATAGAGTCAGAGAGAGTGACAGGGAGAAAGAGGAGACAGAAAAAGAGAAAGAAAGAGACACAGGGAAAAAGAAAAATGGAGACAGACAGACAGACAAAGAGAGCCAGAAAGAGACACAGAGAGAAAGGGACAGAGTGAGAGAAAGAAGATAGGAGAAATAGACAAAGACACAGAAAGAGAGAGATAAAAATAGAGAAAGAGGCACACAGAGTGATAGAGAAAGACACACAGAGAAAGAGACTGACAGAGAGAATGAGATAGGAGAAATGAGACAGAGACAGAAAGAGAAATAGACACAGAAAGAGTGACACACACACACATACACATTGAAGGTGAGAGAGGAGAGACAGAGAAAAGGAGACAGATTCAGAGACAGAGAGACAAAGAGACAAAGACAGAGATAAAATAGAAACACACAGAGAAAGAGAAATAGAGACAGTGACATCCAGAGAGACACACAGAGAGATACACACAAAGAGAAAGATGGAAAGACAGAGAAGAAAAAGACAGAGACACAAGGGTGGATGAATACAGAGAAAGACACAAAGAGACACTGAGACAAATAGATACACACACAGAGAGAAATAATGTGACAGAAAGAGCCTGAGAAAGAGAAAAAGAATGAGAGAAAAAAGATAGGAGAAATGAGACAGAGAAATAAAGATAGGAAAGAAAGAAAAAGAGAGAAATACGCACAGAGAGAGAGACATAGAGAAGTGGGGAGAGAGGAGAGACAGAGAGACCATCAGAGACAGGGAGAAAGAGACAGAAAAAGAGATGGAGAAAGACACAGACACAGAGACACAGAGAAAGAGAAGGAAAGAGAATCAGAAAGAGATAGGAGGAGAAAGAAAGGAGAGACGGATACATAGAGACAGATGAATACAGAGAAAGACAGAGAGAAAGAGAAATAGAGACAGTGACACCCACAGAGACACACAGATAGAGAAAGAAAAAGATGGAATGAGACAGAAAGACAGAGAGCAAGAGAGTCAGAGGCAGTCTGAGACAGAGTGACAAAGGAAGAGAGACACAGAGATAAAAACAGAGACACACAGAGAAAGAGAAATAGAGTGACAGAGTGACGCAGAAAGACACAATGAAACAAAGACAGAGATACAGAAAGAAAGAGGGCGGGGGGGAGGAAGAGAGACAGAGGTAGAGAAAGGAGACAGATGGATACAGAGAGAGAAACACAGAGACAAAGAGAAACAGACAGATTGTGAAAGAGAATTGAGGAGAGAGAGAATGACAAAGATAGCAGACATGAGACAGAGATACCTAGAGATGCAGAGAAACAGACAGAGGAAGAGATAGACACAGAAACTGTGAAAGAGACAAAGAGGTAAAAATAGAAAGACACAGAGAGTGACAGACACAGAGAGCCAGGGAGCAACAAAGAAGGAAAGAGATAGAGACTCAGAGATAGTCAGAGACAGAGAAAGATACACAGAGAAAGATGGGGAAATAGTGACAAAGAGACAGAACGAGAGAGACAGGGAAATAGAGATACACAGAGATAAAAATAGAGAAGGAAATAGATAGAGTGACAGAGCCAGAGAAAAATAGAGACACAGAGACAGAGAAAGACAGAAACTGAATCAGAAAAAGAGAGGAAAGAGGAATCCACCATGGGGGGAGGGGTATGGGAGGGGTGGGGGGAATCCCCAGCGCCTAGAAAACTGTACTACATAATACAATGTAAGCAACAATTAAAAAAAAAAGAGAGAGGAAAGAGACAGAGGGGAAAGACAGAAAGACAGAGACACAGAGAAAGAAAGAGTGACAGAGAGACCCAGAGAGAGAAAAAGGGAGAAAGAGAGACACACAGAGAAATAGAGAAACACAGAGGAAGAGACATACAGAAAGAAGGAAAGAGGAGAGAGAAGGAGGGAGAGCAAGAAAGGGTCAGAGTCTTAGAGTGAGAGTGACAGAGAAAACAAGGGAAAATAGAGACAGAGGGAGAAAGGGAGAAAAACAGACACAGAAAAAGAAAAAGAGAATGACGCAGTGATCCAGAGAGACACACTGAGAAAGAGAGAGAGACACACACACAGAGTCAGACAGTCCAAGATAGCAGGAGAGTGAAAGAAGGAAAAGACACAGAGATGCAAAGAGACACACAGAGAAAGGAAAAGGGAGATACAGAGAAAGAGACAGAAAAATAGAGTGACAGAGACAGACAAAGTCAGAGAGATAAAAAGAGAGAAAGAGGGAGAGAGACACACACAGAAGGTGAGAGTGAGGAGAGAGAGAAAAAGAGATGGAAAGAGGAGATAGATACAGAGAGTGACAGAAAGGAAGGCAGACAGACGGAGACAGACACAGAAAGAGAATAAGAGTGAGACAGAAAGAGAAAAGAGAAACAGAGGCACAGTGAAAGAGAGTCAGAGAAACCAAGAGACAGAGACAGAAAGGAGACAGATGAAGACAAAAAGAAAGAGTGTCAGAGAAAGAAAAATAGAGTGACAGAGACACCCAGATTCCCAGAAAGACTGAGAAAGGAGGGAGAAAAATAGAGAAAGAGACACACAGAGAGACACACACATTGAACGTGAGAGAGAGGGAAGGTGGAAGAAAGGAGAGACAGCGAGAGAGACAGATGCAGAGAGAGAGAAAGTGAGACAGAAAGAAAGAGAAAAAAATGGAGACAGAGACACAAAGAGAAACACAGAGAAAGAGACAGAAACAGAGACAAAGACAGATAAAAATAGACACACAGAAAAAAAAATAGTGACAGAGTGACAATGAAACACAGAGACACAGACACACAGAGAAAGATGGAGAGAAAGAGAGAAGAAAGATAGGAGAAACAGAGACACAGGAGACAAAATACAGAGAAAGAGTTAGAGGCACCCAGAAAGAGGAGAGAAACCGAGAAACAGAGTGACAGAGACACCCAGGGAAACAAAGACAGAAATAGTGACAGAGAGCAATAGAGACATAGAGAAAAACAGAGACAGAGAAAAAGAGGTAGAGAAAGAACAGAGACAGATGAATACACAGAGACAGAGCAAGAGACAAAGAGAGACAGAAAGAGATAGTGAAAATGAGACAGAGCCAGAGAGAGAAGGAGATATAGACACAGAGAGAACAAAGTAAGAGAGAAAGAAAGGCAGAGAGACAGAAGAAAAAGAGACCACAGAGAAAGAGAACTAGAGAGTGACAGAGAAAGAGATAGAGACACAGAGAAATAGAGTGATAGAGAGAGAGAGACAACACAGAAAAAATAGTGACAGAAAGATAGAATGAAAAAGAGACAGAGATAAAAATAGACACAGAGAAAGAGATGCAGAGAGCCAGAAAGTGACAGAGACAGAGAAAGAGACAGACAAAGATAGAGACAGACAGAGAAAGATACATTGACACAGAGAAAGAAACACACACAGAGAAAAATGGAGAAATAGAGTGGGAGAGACAGAACGAGAGAGACAGAGACAAGGAACTAGAGACCCAGAAAGAGAGAGAGGGATAAAAGTAGACAGAAAAAGAAAGAGAGTGACAGAGACCCAGAGGGAAAGAGGAGAGACTGAGAGAGACAGACAGAGAAAGATAAAGAGAGAGACACAAAGAGATAAAAATGGAAAGATAGAGACCTAGAGAGAGACAGAGAAAAGACAGACACAGAAAGAATGAGCCAGAGAGAGACAAAGAGAAAGAAGAAAAGAGACAGAGACAGCGTCAGAGAAATGAAAAAGAGACAGAAATAGGGACAGGGAGAAAGAGATATTGACATACAAGGAGAAAGAGTAAAAGAGAAAGAAAGAGACAGAGATATCCAGACACCCAGAGAGACAGAGAATGAAAGGAGAGAAAGAGAAAAAGAGACACACACACATTGAAGGTGAGAGAGAGAAAAGGTGGGAGAGAGATTCAGAGACAAAGAGAGACAGAGAAAGCAAGAGAAAGACAAACAGAGATAAAAATAGACACACAGAGAAAGAAAAATAGAGTCACAGTGTTCAAGAGAGACACAGAGACAGACACACAGAGAGAAACAGAGATGGAGTGAAAGAGAAGGAGAAATGAGACAGAGAGAGAGAGAGACAGACAGTGAGAGAGAGGAGAAAGATAGACAAAGAAATAGTGACAATGAGACCCAAAGAGACAGACACAGAAGAGAGGGAGAGAGATACAGAGAGAGACAAAGACAGAGATAAAATACAGATAAAAATACAGAGAAAGAGAAGCGCCATAGAGAGAGACACACAAACAGAGAAATAGAGAAACACAGAGGAAGAGACATACAGAAAGAAGGAAAGAGGAGAGAGAGAAGGAGGGAGAGAGACACAGAGATGCAGAGAGAGAGAAAGCAAGAAAGGGTCAGTCTTAGAGTGAGAATGATAGAGAAAGCAAGGGAAAATAGAGACATAGAAAAATAGAGAATGACACAGTGAGAAAGAGCGACACACACAGAGAAGATGAGAGATGGAGACAGAGATGCAGAGATGCAGAGACACACAGAGACAGAGACAGAGCAAGAGAGAGTCAGACACAGTCTGAGACAGAGAGAATGAGAAAGAAAGAGCGAGATACAGAGAAAGAGACAGAGGAAAATAGAGTAACAGAGACACAGACAGAGCTAGAGATAGAAAGAGAAAGAGAGAGGGAGATAGACACACAGGGAAAGAGAAATAGTGACAGAGACCCAGAGACAGAAAGTGAGACACAGAGAAAGGGAAAAAGTCAGACAGAGTCAGAAAGGGGGTGACAGAAAGAGACAGACACAAACACAGAGAAATAAAGAGTGACAGACAGTAAGAGACAGAGAGACAGAAAGACAAAGAGAAGAGAATGAGAGTGAGAGAGAAAAAAGAGAATCAGAGACGGACAGAGAGAGACAAAGAACAAGAGTGAGACAGACTGAGTGTGAGAGGAAGAGACACAGAGTGAGAGATGGTAAGAGAGCAAGAGAGAAATAGTGACAGAGACCCAGAGATTGAGAGAGACAGAGACACAGAAGAGAGAAAGAGAGATCCAGAGACAGAGATGAGAGAGAAATAGTGAGACAGAGAAAGAGAAACAAATAGAGTAAGGGAGACACCCAGAGAGAGACACACACAGAGACACACACACATTGAAGGTGAGAGAGAAAAGGAGAAAGAGAGAGAGATGCAGAGAGAGATAGAGACAGAAACAGAAAAGATGGAGAAAGAGACAGTCATAGACAAAGAGACAGAGAGACAGAGACTCAGACAGAGAAAGAGACACAGAAAGAGAAACACAAAGAGGAGACAGAGAAACAAAATCAAAGAAAAATAGACACATAGAGGAAAAAAATAGTGACAGAGTGACACAATGAAACACAGAGAGAAAGATGATAAGAAAGAGAAGAAAAAGATAACAGAGAGAGAGGAGAGATAGAGACACTGGAGAGAGAATACAGAGAAAGAGACAGAGACTGAGTCAGAGACCAAGAGAGAATGAGAGAAAAGAGATAGGAGAAATGTGAGAGACAGAGATAGACACAGAGAAACAGAGTGACAGAGACACAGACAGTGAGAAAGAGACAGATTGAGAAAGGAGAGACAGACGCACAGAGATAGATGAATATGGAGAAAGAGATAGAAAGAGTGACAGAGATATCCAGAGACACACATGTTCACAGAGAAGGTGGGAGAGAGGAGAGAAAGACAGGGAGAGAGGAGAGAGAGACAGAGAAAGTGGGACGAGACAGAGAGACAGAAGCAGAGAGATAAAGAGACACAGAAAGAGACAACCACAGAGAAACATACACAGAGAAAGATGGAGAAATAGAGTGGGAGAGACAGAATGAGAGAGAGAGATAAAAGTAGACAGAGAAAGACACAGAGGGAAAGAGGAGAGACTGACAAAGACAGAGAAAGAGAAAAAGACACAAAGAGATAAAAATGGAAAGATAGAGACATGGAGAAAGAAATAGTGAGAGAGAGACCTAGAGAGAGACAGAGAAAGAGACAGAAGGAGAAAGAGTGAGCCACAGAGAAAGAGTGAGACACAGAGAAAAATACACAGAAAAAGGGTGACAGAGTGATCCAGAGAGAGAATGAAACAGACACACAGACAGAGAAAGAGAATCAAAGACAGATAGAAGAGACAGACACAGAGACAAAGTGACAGAGACACAGAGAATCAGAGAGAAAGACATTGAATGAGAGAAAAAAGAAACAGAAATGAAAGAGACTGAGTGAGAAAGAGGAGAAATAGACACAGAAAAACATTGTAAAAGAGACACAGAAAGAGAGACAGAGAGAGAGAGACAGAGAGAGAAATAGTGACAGAGACACCCAGCGAGACAGAAACAGATACAGCGATGCAGAGACAAAGACAAGACAGAAAAAGAAAGAGATAATGAGAGAGAAAAAGAAATAGTGACAGAGAGAAATTGCTTAGGAAATTGCTCCATCTAACGCCTGGAAAGGAAGGGGGTGTGGGTGTGGGTGTGTGTGTGTGTGTGTGTGTGTGTGTGTGTGTGTGTGTGTGTGTGTGTGTGTGTGTGTCTGACTGACTGTCTGTCTGTCTGTCTGTCTGACTGACTGTCTGTCTGTCTGTCTGTGTCTGGGGTGCTTCACTTTAAAGGCTCCGCTAAACTGTGACTGGAAACTTACATTCTCATAAATGTGTGTTGTAGATGCAATGCAACAAGCACGCACATATCCCCTTAGCCCTGCAGACCGCAGGCGGCCCCTTGCCCTGGTTCCACGTCCACCTCAGTTTTCGGTCTGGTCACACTGGCTCACTGGGGCGAGTCCAGCCTGGGGATGTGGGTGAGCTGAGTGGGACGGCTGTTTGCTCATCCGTCTTAACCTGCTTACAGCACATGACTAGAACATTTCACGGCCTCGACGGGCAAGTCGTTAAGCAGGACTCAGGAATATGGATCAATGGCTTTGATTACACTGGGATGTCGCATATCACCCCGCACATCCCCGAGATCAACGACACCATCCGGGCTCCCTGTGAGGAGAGCGCGCCCCTCTGCGGCTTCCCGTGGTACCTGCCCGTGCACTTCCTCATCAGGTGGGTTGGCTGCTCTTCTGCCGCGGGGCTGGGTGGGTAGCACCGTGTTCTCTGCCGTCCGGGCACTGTGATGCTGGTTTCTCCCATCACTACAAAACTTGTGTTTCTTTAGCCGGGTAAAGCAGTCGATAGATGATTTTGTTTTGCTAAAATTTGTAAAAAAAAAATTTATTTTTATTGGAAAGGCAGATTTACAGAAAGAGATACAGACAGAAAGGTCTTCCATCCGTGGGTTCACTCCCCAAATGGCCACAGTGGCTGGAGCTGAGCCAATCTCAATCCAGGAGCCAGGAGCCTCCGGGTCTCCCACGCGGGTGCAGGGTCCCAAGGCTTTGGGCCGTCCTCCACTGCTTTCCGGGCCACAGGCAGGGAGCTGGATGGGAAGGTGGAGCAGCCGGGACACGTGGGCTCCTGGCGTTGCAGGGTGAGGATTTAGCCACTGAGCCATCATGCCAGGCCCCATTTTGGTAAAAAACTTAGACTCTTTTCTCTCGAAAGCTGAGCAGTTAGGGCGATCTGCCTCCCACCATCTGATACAATATCTAGTCGTTAAAAAATCAGTATCAAGTTGTTTTACCTTGGGAAGGTTTTTAAGGATTTGGCAGTGAAAGATTAGATAAAAATCGGAATGGGTAGTGAAGCGAAGGCCAGCAGGTGCCCTCCAGTTCCTGCGCTGTAGCCGTCGGTGCCACAGTCACGCGGGTTCCCGAGGCGGCGACGTCAGTGTGAGCTCATGCCCAGGGACCCCGAGCGTGCCCGTGAATTATAGTTACCAACTGATAAGGCCTCCTAAATAGTGAAGCTAACTTTCCAAATAGGAAAAACTGGTACCTTCCCGCCCCAGAAGTTTCTCCGAGAACTCCTGCTCATTTCAGACTTGTATCCAAAGAACAGACACCTTGGGATTCTGTAAAGTTGACTTTTGAAGCAACAGGTGAGTCGTGCGCCGGTCCTCTCCCCTTCTGCCGCGTGCCCGTCATGCCACGTCGCCCTCAGGAGCTCTGTGTTTCAGAGCGCAAGGAGGAAGCTTATTCTGACTTCGTAAAGCAAATGTCTTAGATGATGTTCTTCAGAGCACTTGGGAACAAGCTGACCGCGTGGCCTGGCGGAGGCTCACTTCACTGCCTTCTCTGCTGCCGAGCGCCAGCTGCCCTGGCCGTTGCTCCCCGTCTCCCTGCTCACGCTTGGGCTGTCACTGGCTCGTTTCCTTAGTTCACTAAAGCAGAAGTAAGGCAGTGAAGGCAAAGGAACAGTTACTGATTTTAGATTATCTTTTCTAATATATTCATTCAGCACTAACCAGTTTGACTCTTAAGAATCGCTTACACTCCAGCTCACAAATTTAAGTTGTATCTTCATTTTAAATTTGGTAAGACTGAAAATTTCTCTGTTTTCTGGACCCTTTTCTTAAATTTAGAAATGTTTTCTTGCGACCTGCCTGGTGGCTTGCATATTAATTCTCTGCCCGCATGGCCGGCATCCCAAATGGGTGCTGGTTCCTGTTCTGACAACTCCACTTCCTGTCCAGTTTCCTGCTGATGGCCTGGGAAAGCAGGGGAAGATGTCCACTGATTGATTCCTCAGATGCCCACTTACAGTGGCTGGGGCTAGACTGTGCCAAAGCCAGGAACCTGGGAAATGAGTCCAAGTTGCCATGAGTGACAGGGCTCCCAGCACTTGACCATGCCCGCTGCCTCCAGGGGCTGCGGTGGCCGGGCCCCAGAGCCTGGCGCTGCACCCAGGCGTTCAGGAGGGGGCATGGGCATCGTGATGGTGAGCTAACTACACGCCCAGAGCTTGTTCTGGTCTTTAATATTTCACTGTGACGTGAACCTACGCTCACTGTAAGCTTACCCAGAGTGTGCGTGCTGCTGAGCAGTGCACGTGACTGCGGGTCCTTGTCGCTTTCCTGTCACTGCTGGTGGGCTGTTGGAGCCAACTGTGAGGTGTCCCGGCCTCCTGGGTGCTCTGGCGGGAGGCGTTCACACACAGAGGAAGTGTTACTGTCGTCAGCAGTGTCACCATATCATCAAACCAATCCGCTCTTTGTCCCTGGTCCTCTCTTTCCCCTGAAGTCTTGCTCGTACAGTTCTCACCTTTTCCTTGGCTGACTTGCCTTTCCCCGTCCACCCGTTTACTCCGTGCAGCACAGTAAGCCTCGTCATGCCTGCAGCCCAGCTGGGCGCCCGCTGCTCGCGGCCACTTCACTCCTGCCCCAGCCCGGCACCACGTGGCGGCTCGCGGAGGCCTCTGCACCCCCAGCGCCGAGACGGACGGACGCTCTGCAGCCTTTGTGGCCGGTGAGGGAGTGAACCAGGAGATGGAAGATCTGTCCCCCGCCCTCTCTGTAACTGTCCTGAAGCCTTTTAAAACCCATAAAAATCTGGGCCCTGTCTTATGTCGCAGCCTGACAGCTGATCTTAAGACAGGGTGGCCTCTCACCTGCTAGGTCATTCCACACCCAGGAGCCTGAGCCCTCCCCGCGGCCCCCCGCGCACTCCCCAGGCCTGCTAGCAGCCCAGCAGCCGGGCTGCCCTCTGCCCTAGGGACCGGGCACGTGGCCACCCGGGTGGGGTCCCAGCCCGCAGTGCCTGGTCCCACTGTCGGTTGCTGGCTGTTGATGTGCAGGGCGTCCTGACACAGCTCAGCACCTGCCACGTTTGTGGCCGCTTTGTTGGTTGCCTCTGTTCCTCTGTTTTTGTCTTGCATTTGTAGACTCATTTTAAATTTAAAAAATTTATATAAGGTGAAGTTCCATATATTTCATTTATAGGTTTAAGTGCACTATAGCTCTTACCCCAGCCTCCCTCCCAGTTCCCTAGTGTTAGGATGTCTTTGAAAGGCAGAGTTAGATGGTCGGCCCTTCCCGCCTGCCTTCCTCCCAGATGGCCGGGACAGCCGCCCCAGGGCAGTCCGAGCACCGTACGGATCGGAGAAGGAGCAAGCAGGATTCCGGCCACGCTCCGTGAGGGGTGTCGGCACTGCAGACGGAGGCTGTGTCCACTACTCCATAGTGCCGGTCCCTCTTGTTTTTTTTTTTTACAGTGGCATACTTGCGGTTTATTTTATAATAACAAGCTTACCCATTCCTCAAAGAATTCAAGTAATAAGTAGAAAACAAACAAATCCCCACTGTTCCTCAGGAATATACGCGAAAATAGATGTCAGCTGTGCTCATCTGCATTTTTTTATATTCAAGTTACTGCAAACCAGGGAAAACTGTCTTTTGGTGACTGGCTTATTCACTAAGCCTAATGGTTTTCTGTTGCATCCATTTTGTTGCAAAAGATAGCATTTCATTCTTTTTTATGGCTGAGTAGTAATCCAGCGTGCCACAGTTTAAGATTTATTTTATTTTTACTGCAAAGGCAGATATACAGAGAGGGGGAGAGAGGAAGATCTTCCGTCCGATGATTCACTCCCCAAGTGAGTGCAACGGCCGGTACTGCGCCGATCCGAAGCCAGGAGCCAGTAATCTCTTCCATTTCTCCCATGCAGGTGCAGGGTCCCAAGGCTTTGGACTGTCCCCCACTGCCCCCCCCCACCCCCTCCAGGCCACAAGCAGGGAGCTGGATGGGAAGTGGTGCTGCCGGGATTAGAACCGGCGCCCATATGGGATCCCAGCAAGTTCAAGGCGAGGACTGTAGCTGCTAGGCTACTGCACCGGGCCCAGCATGCCATATTTTCTTTATCTACTTACCCATTGATGGGCATCTGGATTGATGACACATCCCGGCTCTTATGGACGGAGGTGCTATGAACACAGGGATACAGGTAGCTCTCCTATTGCGAATTTCATTTTCTACTCTCATATTTTTAGCTGAGAACTCTCCGTGCTGTCCTCCCCAATGGTTGTACAGATTCACGTTCCCCCCAAACTTCCATGCTGGCCCTTGCTGTGTTTCTGATTTTGATATGACAACATCCTTCTATCTGGACTGAGAGAAAACCTGTTACTTCATCTCCTGGGTGGAATCTTTTCCATGTGTCTGTTGGTCATTTGAATTTCATCCTTTGAAAAATGCCTGTTCATGCCCAGTGTCCATTTCTCATTTATTTATATTGGAAAGGAAGATTTCACAGAGAGACAAGAAGATCTGTTCACCCCACAAGTGGCTGCAAGGGCTGGAGCTGAGCCGATCCAAAGCAGGAGCCTCTTCCGGGTCTCCCACGCGGGTGCAGGGTCCCAAGGCTTTGGCCCGTCCTCCACTGCTTGCCCAGGCCACAGGCAGGGAGCTGGATGGGAAGTGGAGCAGCAGGGACATGAACTGGCTCCCATATGGGATGCTGGCACGTACAGAGGATGAGCCAGTTGAGTCATCGCACCATCTGTTTGCCCATTTCTTAACTGGATTTGTTGCTGCTGTGTTTCTTGACCTCTTTGTAGATGCTGGAGGTTAATCCTGTGTCAGTTGCACAGTAGGCAAATACTGGATGCCATCCTGCTGGCCGCCTGTCTCCTGTGCTTCCTCGCAGTGTGCGAGTTTCCTGGTTTGACTTAATCCCGTTTGTATGCCACTCTGTGCTGCCTGTGTTTCTGGGCCTTTTTGCCAGGAAGGCTTTGCCAGTGTCCTTCAGAGCTTTCCTCTGGTAATTTGGTGGTTTCGGGGTGCCCACTGCAGTCCTCCAAGCATTCTGAGTTGACTTGTGCGTGAGGGGGAGGCGAGGGCTCTGTGGACTTGCGCACCCTGGCGCAGCGCTTCCTGGACCGTTTGTTGAAGACACGGTCCCTTCTCTGGGCACCGATTGTTTGTTAGCTCATTTATTGAAGAGCTGGTTGTAGATGTGTAAACTAATTAATTTTTTGGTTTCTATTTAGTTTTGTCTACATATCTGTTTTGATTCCAGCTGTCCTGTGGCAGGTCTTACAGTCGGCCTGATGCTGCCTCGGGCTTTGTTTTAGTTAAGCTTACTGCAGCTGTCCATGGGCTCCTCTGTTGCCATCTGTCTCTGTCCGTTGTTTTGCGAGTATTCCTTCTTCTAGTCCACAACCACGGATTCGCCTCTCATAATTTTCACCGTAAAGATCTGTAACCTGCTTGGTTATATTGGTGGACTCTGCGCTACACGGGGCCGCTGTTGAGGCACAGTGGGTAAGGCTCAGGAGGCCTGCAGTGTTGGCTGCCAGTTCATGTCCTGGCTGCTCCACTTGTGCTCCAGCTTCCTGTTACTGCACCCGGGAAAGCAGTGGAGGAGGGCACAGGTATCTGGTCCCCTGCCACCCACGTGGGAGACCTGGAAGAAGCTCTGGTTTGCCCTACCCTGTGCCCGGGCGCAGTGACCCGGGGGATGGGCCAGCAGATGGAAGGTTTCTGTCCTCTCTCTCTCTCTGCCTCCCACGTACATTAGCAGGGGCCTTTACTGAAAGCAGCATGATGCTGGCTTTCCAAATGGCAGCTTAGCCCGCTGTACCACACTGCCTGCCCATGTGTGTTTAGCTGGATATTTAAAAATATTTTGTCTTAAACTGCTTTTTGTGGTTGCCTTAGACTTGAGCTTACAACTACTTTAAGCTCATTTTTAGATCCACTTAAAATAACAATGCTAATTCCCTTTCCGCTTCCCTTGTATCCTCAGTCATTGGTTTCACTCGTGTGCGTGCGTGCATGCGTGTGTGTGTGTGTGTGTGCGTGCGTGCGTGTGTTTGAGTTTGGACACAGCACACACACTTGCTGTAATTCGCGGCTGGCTATGTTTGGGTCACCTAATCAAAAACAAAACCCCCTGAAAGTTACTCTCCACTTGTCTTGCAGAACTGCTTATCCTGTCTTGGCTTACTGGAAGTATCGTGGCTTTTCCTCCCCCCGGCTTTAGTGTATCACAGCTTATTTTTACAAGGTTAAGTTTCCTGCTTTCCAGATGGAGCTGCTCAGCTCTGTTAGCTTGGTGCAGTGGTTAAGCCGCCGTGTGGGGTGCTGCACCCCACACCGGAGAGCCCGTTCTCACGTCCCGAGCCTCCCGCACCCATGGGAGGCAGTGACGGCCTCAGATTCCAGGCTCCCGCCACTGGGGCCCAGTTCTGTCTGCTGTGGACCGCAGGGGAAGGAAGACCTCTGCTTCTCAGATAAAGTTTCAAATTTCATTTTGAGTTGTTGTTTCTGATATTTACAGTTGCAGGTAACTGTGCTACTTTCTGACCTTGGTAATGTAAGTACTTCATGCTGGGAAGTATGTTCTGTGCTGTGAACACACGGAGTGTGAGGTTCACGTGAGGGCACTTGAGAAAAGTCGTGTAAAGCGGAAGTCAAGGATGCTTAGAATTCTGTAAGCCACGATGCCATTTCCCCAATGCACATTAGTGTTCTAACCTCATTCCATTCGCCTGCTCGTATGATTCATTCATCTTGTTCAGATCCCCTGTGTCATTGTGGTTGATTTTTTTTACTGAGAGTAGAATACCAGTATGTTTTATTGGGGTGTTGGAATGTCACCCATCTTGTCTAGTTCTGTTTCATAAAACACGTTACATGGTGCAAAGATAGTTTTTAACCGACTAATTTTAAAATGCCCATTTGAATATGTTTTTCTTGAAAAAAAATTTCTTTGGCTTATCAGGCTTTTACCAAAACTATTTCAACGTTGTTGAAACACTTAATACCTTTAATTCAATAAAAAGTTTGTCAGATTGGTAAGCTATTTTAAAAACTAAATAAACCTAACTCACTCACTTCTGAGTGGGTTTAGATTTATCTAGTTTTTCATGACTGATACTTGGACTAGTCTTATTTGAAAGACATCTTCCATTCTCTGGTTCGCTACCTGGATGGCTGAGCTGGCCAGCTTCTGCTCCTTCCCAGGTGTGTTAGCTGGAAACTGGGTCAGGAGGGAAGTGTCTGGAACCTGAACCAGGATTCTGGTGCCACAGGCGGCAGCTTTGTCCACCTGCTATGCCCCCACACCGAATGCTGTGAGCAGCCGAGCACCGGGGCGGTGACCTAATTAGGCTTTCTCATTTGGCGTCCCATCCTTCCCCGTTGCGGCTCTCTCATCACTTTGGGCGTTGAGCCTGTACCACAGGAATGCAGAAGGTATGGAGAGACTTCAGAAAACTTTGTGGGAAGTATAATTAAAACATTTATTTTTAAACAATTTTCAAGTAAAACAAGAGGGAAAGACAGGAAGTAGTAAGGTTATTTTCATGGAAAACGTGTATGAGAAATTATGCATTTTCTTAAAAAATCTGAATTGTATCGCTTTCCTGCAAGCTTTCTGAAGTGCTCAGGCATAACGTGCTACAACAGTCTGAGCCTTGGGTGGCTTGGTTGCTTTTTCAGATAATTCTTACAAGACTAACTCTTCTTCCTTCCTGCTGTCTTTCAGGACCCAGCCACATGTCATTCTACGTGCGCGCTCACAAGGGGTCCACCCTCTCGCAGTGGTCTCTGGGCAATGGCACCCCGGTCACAAGTAAAGGGGGGGACTACTTTGTCTTCTACTCCCACGGACTCCAGGCTTCCGCGTGGCAGTTCTGGATAGAAGTGCAGGTGGGAATTTTCTTGGCCAGGCTCCCAGGTGGCCCTAGCGAGCATCCACGGGTTTTGCTGTTGGCGTGCTAAGAGAGCTGCCCGTTTCTCTCCTGGCAGGGCTCGGCGGACCAGCCTGAAGGCATGGTCACTGTGGCCATCGCCGCCCACTATCTCTCCGGGGAGGACAAGAGATCGCCAGCACTGGACGCCCTGAAGGAGAAGTTTCCAGACTGGGCGTTCCCCTCCGCCTGGGTGTGCACCTACAGTGTCTATGTGTTTTGATCTTGTGACTGAGCGTGAAGCATGTGGCCAGTGGATAATTCCTGTGACACAGTCTCTCCCTGGGTCACGTGGATGTTTGTAACTCAAGTCACTGAATTTTAATGGAGAAATGTTGGAAGAACTTCGGTTAGCACTTTTCAGGGCCCAACACTGCAATGGTTAAGCTGTGGGACATACATGGCCTGCTGACACTTGACACTGCCAGTCCTCTGGCACTTAAGCACAAGCGGGCATCGCCACTGTCATTCTGTGACCTTCAGGACAGAAGCCCATGACCACTGCAGTAGCCACTCCTCCAGGATCAAGGACATAAACTGAGGCCATCCTTAAGGAGACAGAAGTCCTAGCCAGCCCGCGTGCTGCCTCAGGGGAAGCAGCTCTCGAGGTCTAACTGGGGGGCCCTGGGAAGGGACAGTCCTGCAGATGGGACACTGGGCCACGCAGTGGACTTTAGGCCCCAGCCTGTGCTGAGCCACCTGGCCCCGAGGGGAGCAGGCTGGGGTCACCACAAGTTGACAAGGGGTCCCCGAAACGGACTCTTTCCCTCTGAAATGTGCTCCACTTCCCTAGGGATTCTTGCAGACTTTTTAGGTTCCAAATTATTTTCTGTGCAAGTCCTTAACTTCCTCAGCACTGACCTGCCGCTCTGGTTACCATGGGGTAGAGCAGAGTGGAAGGGGGAAGGTGGGGATTTTATAAGTATTATTTTTTTTCTCGTGGGAGTCTTCTATTTTACAAGGTTAATCCTTTAGGACATGATGTCCTGGCTGAATTGGGGCCTTTTGTTCTCAACCGTGCCCAGTGCTTGTGTCGTCACTGACGGGGAAGATGGGCATGCGACACACGCTGATCTGGGCTCTAGCTATGACGTCAGTGGTAAACTGCTGAGCTTTCTGGATAAATTCTATGAAACGACAGGCCAGGAGATAGGTGAGAAAAAAGGCACAGCCAAAAGGGGGAAAACAAAGTTGGCATCTCCTGGGAGTCCAGGCATTGCAGCGCGCCCTCAGGGCGCCAGGGGCAAGGGCGCAGGGCCGGGATGTGCTCGCTGGAGCCTGGGCTGCGGCAGTCACTGTCTGGTAGACAGGCTGTGCTGTTTCAGGTGTTTCAGGTGTCTGGCTTGTGCTCCTCTCCTGCCGGGTCTTGTTTGTAACCGTTAGCACAGTTGAGGGCTTAGACTCACACTTGTAAGGGAAAGGAAAGAGACCAATGAATTTGCAGACAGGCACACTGCCCCGTGGCTAACATAATCACTAGAAATTAGTACGTAGGAAAGCCACCCCCCATCTCACCTTGAGGACCTTCTGTGAGAGCTGCTGCCTGCGTGGCCTCCTTGGGAAAGGATGCTGGGACTCCTCAGCAGGGGTCACGGCTGTCCTCGGGGGTACTTTCCTCCTCAGCATTATGGTAGTTTTGATGCTGTATAGTCAGTAACAAGCTGCTAAGCAGTCTCAGGGCTTGTTAATACACTGGCCAGTTGTCTTTAGCGCCCGAAACAGGTCGTCATAATCAGCATAGCGTTACTGCACCATTAGGAAGCACACCATCGGAACATCGGAACACCTTCCCCGAGGGTCTTGCCCAGCTCTAACTAATGCATTATTTTCTACAGAGTTAAATTCAAGTAGCACAGTACACTTTCAGGGAAAATATGAAGAATTATGATTTAAGTGCTTTTTCCTTCTGTTGAGCTAAGAATGACTGTCGCATGGAGTGCTTCCACAGTTAGCCAGGATGCCTCCAGCCGTCCCCGCCCCGGGAAGCTGGAGGGAAGCAGACTGTCTGATCCTGGTTTGCTGCCTTGTTGAAGATTTGTTGTTGCCTTACAATGTTACTGAAATAAACTTTTTACCATAAATGATTGCTCTCTCTAATGAATGAAGCAGTTAACTTGTAATGCAGAAACATGCCATACCATTTCCTGTCCACAGGGTGGCTAGCATCCCAAACCAGCCAAAGTGACACATGTTCTCTGCCTCCATCACTTTCACTACAAACTGAAGTGGTGGTACCCTTCCAGAGAAGTTGACCATATTTATACATCTTAAAGAACTTCCTTTTCAACAGTGACCACCCCCCACAGAGCGTGCCTTGGAGGTGAAGCAGCTCTTCGTGGCGGACTGTAACCACAAGTATTTACGCATCTCTTTGAAACTACCGCCTTCACATTTGATTTTCAAAAATGTAACCTGTAATTTCTGCTCAGTTGCACTCTGCAGTGACGCAGTGGGGCTTACCCCAGAGGTCGTTGATTTAATGCAAAACAGTAAGGTAGTACACTCAGTAATACAGAGTAGAAGCAGGGGAGCGTCTTAACAGACGAGTAAACGCTCTCCAAAAATCCTATGAGAAACCTCAAGCTAATACGGTACTCAGCAAGCCGGCAGCTCCCCTAAAGAGCAAGAAGACACGAGGCGCGGCTGTGTCTCAACTAGTGGCTCCATCTAGCTGGGGAATTTGCCAAGTTCAAAGGGACAGGATGGATCTTGGTTGAAATAAAACACAGCCTCAAATGTATGGCATTTTCCATCAACTCCTGCAAAGCTACAGCCATTAAGCCCGCCTGGTACTGATCTAAGGACAGCCTATGCAACGTTACACAACAAAGTACAATTAAGCAAATCCAGCGCCTGGCGTGATGGCGCAGTGGTTAAGGTCCTCGCCTTGCACGCCCGGGATCCCATATGGGCACTGGTTCGAATCCCGGCAGCTCCTGCTTCCCATCCAGCTTCCTGCCTGTGGCCCAGGAAAGCAGTCAAGGACGGCCCAAAGCTTTGGGACCCTGCACCCTGTGGGAGACCCGGAAGAGGCTCCTGGCTTCCGTGCTCACTTCGGGAGTGAGAAGATCTTCCTCGCTGTCTCTCCACCTTTCCAAAAAAAATAAAGCTTAAAAAAAAAGAAGTAAATCCAGCGCCTGGCGTGATGGCGCAGTGGTTAAGGCCCTTGCCCGGGATCCCAGATGGGCGCCGGTTCTAATCCCGGCAGCTCCTGCTTCCCATCCAGTTCCCTGCCTGTGTCCGGGAAAGCAGTTGAGCACGGCCCAGGGCTTTGGGACCCTGCACCCGCGTGGGAGACCTGGAAGAGGCTTCTGGCTTTGACTGTTGTGCTCACTTGGGGGGTGGGTGGGGGGAACATACATCTTAAACCTGAGACACCGGCCGGGTAACAGGTCTGTGTGGAGGTTAGGACACTTGGGATACCCTTCTCCTGTGTGTCAGTGAAAGAGCCTCCTAGGCTTCGGTCCCCACTATGGGGGAGTGAGTCCTTTCTCTGTCTCTCCTTCTTTCTCTGTCTCTCCTTTTTCTTTCTCTGTCTCTCCTTTTTCTTTCTCTGTCTGTCTCTCCTTCTTTCTCTCGTCTCTCCTTCTGTCTCTCCACCTTTCCAATCAAAATAAAGCTTTAAAAAAAAGAAGCAAATCCAGCACCCGGCATGATGGCGCAGTGGTTAAGGTCCTCGCCTTGCACGCCCGGGATGGCCGGTTCTAATCCCGGCAGCTCCAGCTCCCTGCTTGTGGCCCGGGAAAGCAGTTAACATTTAACATTGCCAACTCTGATTCTCCCATTACATATCTACATAGAATAAGAATTTTAAATCTCTGAATTTCGAGTTGCAACATAAGGAAAATTTAAAAAGGTAAAATTACAAAAAGTGGCTTTCAATACATATTTTTGCTGTTGCCTGATAACAAATAAACAGAAGTTTGTGCAATCATTTTTATTGCCCTTATTAAAAAAAATACAAATTACAGAAGTAGCAACAAATTTAATTACAAGCAAATGTTGACTCTCCCCTTAGATGATTTCTTTTGGTATCAACAAATAATTGACATGAATGCACTAAAATTCAAATAGTTATAGTAATATTTAAGTTCCTTGGTTAAAATGATGGCTTAAAACAATTGATGTGAACCAAACAACATGGTAAAAATGAGTTTTTCAAAGAATTCAAAGTATCTAATAAATAGAACATGTAAACTTACCAATTTTCTTCCCTTGTGGCCTATTTATTAGTTGAAAGCCAACATTTCACAGAGGAAGGGACTCGCTCACGGCCTCCACCGCAGGAGTCACCCTGTGGGCGCTGCTCGCAGGGTGACCTCGGCGGCAGCATGGTGTGAGCTAGCCAGCTGTGTGCAGCTGTTACTAAATGAGGATCTGCAGCAAACGACAGTGATGCTGGTTCCCTCTGACGGACCGGGGCAGGAGAAGAGAGGTCAGTTTATTTTCTGGCTGGGCTGCCTGGACTCATTCAGGAAACACTGACCTTCCAGCCATTCAGGGAAAGGTGGTTTGAAGCTGACTTAAGTAACAGTAGCACCAGAAGGACCAGGTACCAATAAGACCATATTTGATCCATTAGGAGTTTTATGGTGTGAAATTATTGCACTTCTAATGTAAAAAGTAAATGACAGTCAATTCCCCCAAATCAGTAATTTTGAAGAGTTTGATGAATTATGAACCAAACAATTCAAGATAGTTTCAATTCCCTTCAAAGGAAACGGGCTAAGAACTGAATCCGGGTATTTCCTTTCCAGGGCAGCGAGAGGACCAGGCCTTGTTTCTGAACTGGAATTGCACTGTGAGAAGAGGCTTTTTTTTTTTAAACATAGTGGTACGAATTTGGTCCATATCAAATATGTTGTTACAAAAATAAGTTTTTGTAAAAAATAACATTGCATTCCTTGTTCAAATTGCACAGTACAAACAAGCTATCTAAATTAATACTGTTATAAGGTAATTAGATACAGTGGAGGATAGGTGACTAGTATGAACCAATTATGAAATATGCAGTTTTCACAACATGAAAACAAATTTGTCATCTACAAATACATAAAATACTCTAAAGTTTACAATGAAGGATGCATTCTTTACAGACTAATTTTTAGTAGCCGTGATAAGGTTCAGCAGTCTATTTACATAAAAGTCCATTTTATTCAATTTACAAAATCAATAAATAGTAAACTATGTTAATTTGCACAAAAATCTGTTCCATTTCATGATCAGTGTGAGCATTTTGTTATGACCAGCTGAGCCAATAAGGAGTCTGTCTTTATGAAGACCGCTCTTTTTGGGAAAGAAAAACAAGCCCTGTTGCTATAATTCTCTAAGTATTTATAGGCATGCGGAATCCAGCATAAAACCTTACAAATTATAATACAAGTGCTAAAAATATGAGTAGTGTCTTTGGATTTATTTACACCAAGAGTATTCACAAAAAGGTACAATTTTTTGATACAAAACAGTTTAGTGGCATCTACCAGCAGAATTGGTGAGAATTCCTCAGCCTGTGCCCACACTGATCTAGGAGGAACAAAGCTCGCTCCAGCGGGCACCCTCGCTCCGTGTGGACAGCCTGCACGGATAGGACTGGGGTCTGACGGGCTGCCAACGGCAAAGGAGAACGGCTCACGCTGACACGGGCAGGGGAGCTGCCAAGCCGGGCATGGAGAACGGAACCGGAGAAGGTTTGTTTTGGTGCAGACACCCTTGGCGTTCACGTGTTATGACACTCAGTTTCCACGGCTTTTGGAGGCCCCCGCGGCACCAAAACCAACATCCCGGAACTCCGCTTTCCACGGCCCTCGTGCGCGTCCCCGTGCTGTGCCAAGGCAGGCATCTGTTCGGGAGGGCCAAGCAGGGAGTGTAGTGAGCTCGGACCCGGTCAAGCACCTTAGCACACACAGTCAACCAGGGAAAAGCGCGAGAAGCTCTAAGCAGTCAAAAGCTCACCGGGGCCAAGCACTCCCTTAAGAGCTACCAGCCTGTGAATAAAGCCCAAATCTGCTAATGTACGTATGTACAGCATGTTGTATTTCTCCTGCAGCTTAAGAAATTTTTTATGAAAGATGCTTTATTTGATATCACATTTTTACGGAGTCGGAGATTTCTTACTTAAAATCTAATAATACTTTACGAAAGAGACTCTGAGCCCCTGCGTTCTCTTCCCCTTTAAGTCATCCGTCAGCAACTAGGACACAGTGGACTCAGCTGCTGCTAATACTGCTTGTCACACGTCGCCTCACGGTCAGGACACAGAGCAGTCGTAAGTCCCATCCGGAAAGGGCTCCTCCTGCTCTGCCCGAGCCGTGTCATCCTCCTGGCGGCTGGCTGCACTGGTCCCCGCCGCCTCGCCCTGCAGGACGGCTCCGTGGCTGCAGGATCCCCTGCGCTCCTCGGCCCGGGGACTGGCCTGCTCCGTGGTCTTGCCTGTGGTTACTGGCTGGAAGGCGTCAGGCTCAACTTGCTCTTCCGTCATCTCACTGAGCTTCTGCAGTTGAGGCTTAATCATGTTTAAAAATGGCTTATATCCAGGGCTAAGCAGAGGGGGAGAGAAAAGCAGCTCTCATCTTCCAAATTCACAAGCCTTGGTACAGTGTTAGATCAACATCTAAGCGCGGACAGTAAAGGCAGCAGCAGGCTGTGGGAGAAGGCAGGCTGC